CCTCTCTTCTGGTATCTCCAATCAGGACAAAACCTGAGTATCCCCCTCACTGCCAACCAATCATCAAGTCCTCATGACTCCACTTCATAGACAAACCTCCCTGTAGTGTACCCAGGCTCCCCATCCTCATCACCATGATCCACCTGAGATATTGTCCACGGCCTCCAAAACTGCTTCCTGGCCTCTGGCCTCCCCCTTAGCCAGCCTCCACAATTTGGTCAGAAGGCTCTTTTTAAAGTGCAAATCCCATCCAGCTACTCTCCTAATTAACCCCCTCAATTGTTCCCTGATGCTCTTGTGATAAACTTACAAAGGCCAGAACAAGCTGTCCCTCCCTGGTCCACCCCCCTGACCTCTTGCCCTTCCACCTCTCCCAACACACACTTCAGCTTTTCATTTCTGGAATTAAAACATGCCACCCTGTCTCACTTGGAGCCTGAAGCACACTCTCTCCCATTTGCCTGGTCAGCTCCTGTCCTTCAGAGCTCATTTATACTCTCACTCAGGGAAAGCCTCTCCTGACCTCCTCCCACCTCAAGTCTGGGGCAGGTGACCCTGCTACCTGCCAGTGCATACTCCAGGCACACTTCCACACTGTCCCACCAACAGAGTTGGGAGTGTGTCCCTGTCTCACGGGTCTTTCTAGGCCTGACTCAGGGAGAGCACGTAACAGGAAGAGAGACCTCTGAGCCCTGGCCACCAGGCTTCAGGCTGTTCAACTGGTCCTTTCACTGAGAATACTACTCTTGAGACCCAGCAAATGAGAAAAGGCGCCTACAGAAATACCACAACAGTAGGCTTTAGGAAGCTTTTCCTTCTGGAGAGAACTTGGCTCCATCTCCACAACCAGGCCTTGGGGGTAACGGCTTTTTTTGCCTGTGGGTTCCTGCCATCGTGGCTCTGGCTTTCTTGGCCTTTTGCTATGGTATTTCCCCTGGAGGAATTTCACACTGTGCAAACAGTCTTTCTGTTGGCTATTTTGGTCAGCTCAGCTGGGCCTTAAGCCAACAAAGCAGTTTCTAAGCCCAGGCTTTTCCAGTTGCCTAGCCTGGAAGAATTCAGAGCTGGTGAGGGAAAAGCATGCCCTGGCTGGTTTTAGAGAACAAAGTTGGACCTCAAAGAAAGCTGACAAATGGGGTAAGAGAATTCATTTGGATGAAGAGAGCAGCAACCTTGGTAGTGAAAGACTCCAAATTGTGCTGAATATTTCAATGAGAAGCAAACGTCAGCAATCACAATAGCCATTATGTGGCTCGGTGGGCACGGTGGCTCATGCCTGTCATACCAGCACTTTGGGAGGCCGAGACAGGAGGATCACTTGAGGTCAGGGGTTCAAGACTAGCCTGGGCCACACAGCAAGATGCCATCTCTACAAAAAATGTTTACAAACTAGCTGAGTATGGTGGTGTGTGCCTGTAGTCCCAGCTCCTTAGGAGGCCAAGGTGAGACGATTGCTTGAGTCCAGGAAGTCGAGGCTGCAGTGAGCTATGATTGCACCACTGTGCTCTGGCCTGGGCGACAGAGCGAGACTCCGTCTCAAAAAAAAATAATAATAATAATAATAATAATAATGTTAAATAAGCAAACGAATTAAAACCATGGTAAAAGAGCCCAATAACAGTAAAACAAATTTCAATGGCTTTCATTAAACGAGAACACCTCTGGGCAGTGGCTTGCTAATGCCATAGGCGAAGGAAGGAAGAAGGTGAGTAAGGAATGGAGATGTTGTCTCCACATTAACCCTTTACTGAGCTTCTCAACTCCCCCCACCCCCCCATCTCAGACCCCCAGCATCAGGCAATGACCCTTAGGTATGTCCACGATTTCACTAAGAAGTTAAAATTTGCCTCATCAGCTAAGATCCATTATGTCTTCCCTTCTCCTCAAGCAAAACTCCTTGCAAGAGTTACCTATATTTCTCTCCTGCTAGCTTTTCTTAAACCTGCTCCAACCAGGCTGCACCCTCCCCAGGCATGCCACCAAAACTGTTCATGCCACCTCAGCCTCCCAAGGAGCTGGGATTACAGGCATGAGCCACTGCGCCCGGCCTCTTCTTCCTTGAAACACTTTCTTTACTTTGCCTCTAGGACACATTTTGCTAGTCTCTGGCTAACTTCTCCCATATCTCCTTTGCTGGTTCCTCCTCTCCTCTCAAATTCTAAATGATTGGGTTGCCCCAGGACTGTCCCAGGACCTTTCTTCTGTCTACACCTGTTTCCTAGCTGATTTTGTCTAGTCTCGTGGGTTTAGAAACCAGTAAGATACAGATTCTATATAATTTTAACTCTCACATTTCTATCTCGACTTGTATATCCAACTGCCTACTGATATCTCCACTTGGATGTATTAATAGGCATCGTAAATCTAACTAGCCCCAGCTGGGCGCGGTGGCTCACGCCTGTAATCCCAGCACTTTGGGAGGCCGAGGCAGGTGGATCACCTGAGGTCAGGAGTTGGAGACCAGCCTGGCCAACATGGCGAAACCTCATCTCTACTAAAAATAAAAAAAATTAGCCAGGTGTGGTGGCGAACGCCTGTAATCCCAGCTCCTCGGGAGGCTGACGAAGGAGAATCGCCTGAACCCGGGAGGTAGAGGTTGCAGTGACCCAAGATTGTGCCACTGTACTCCAGACTGCGTGACAGGAGCGAGACTCCATCTCAAAAAACAAAACAAAACAAAACTCTAACTAGCCCCAAACAGTGCTCCCGATATTGTCCTAATCCTGTGACTCTTTCAAAATTCCCCACTGCAGTGAATGAATAGTAACTCATCTTTCCAGCTGCTCAGCCCTAAAACCTTGGGAGTTATCCTTATCTTTTTTCCACACCCTACATTTGACAGCAAACACTCTATCTTCAAAATATATGCCCAAGCTGACTGCTTCTACCACCTCCTCTGTCATCACCTAGGTCCAGGTTTCTATCATGTCTCCCATGGATTAATCTCCTAGCTGCGCTTCTGACCTTGACCCCATCAGTCTATTCTCAACACATCCAGAGTAAGACCCATCACACTTAAATGAAACCGTGTTCTTTCTCTGCTCAGAAGCCCCCAATACCATCCCATCTCCCACTCAAAGTAAGAGCCAAAATCTCCATCGTGACACAGAAGGCCCCTGGGGGACCTGACCCCTTTCACCTGCCCTTTCACTCTCCCTCTCTCACTGCTTTAGCCATGCTGGCTCCCCTCCCTGCTGTTCCTGAACATACCAAGTATGGCCCCTGCTGAGGGCCTTTGCATTGCTCTTCTCTCTGCTGAGTTCTCACCCTCCTCCCCTCACCCCAGACAGAACAAGGCTCAATCTCCTCCCCACTCCTTCAGGGTTTTATTCAGATGTCACTTTATCATTGAGACCTTCCCTGATCACCCTATGTAAATTGCCACCTCCCCCTTTTTTTCCTTATCCTCGTTTTGGCTCCTTAGCACTTCTCACTGTCTAACAAATATCTATTAGTTATTCATTGTCTCCCACTAAGATGTAAGCTTCCTAAAGGCAGGGACTCCTCTGCGTTACTCACTGATGTATCCCAGTCCCTGGCACATGGTAGGTGCTTAACAATCTATGTTTGTTGAATAAGTGAATGAGTAAATCCTGGAGGCTTTACAGCACGAGAGCCTAAAGGGAGTGTAGGAACCAAAGGAGAAAAGCTGCAGATTTGCATACCCTGGCACTAGGTCAGGATCTACTCCACAACTGACCCAGACCCTGATGGGTTTTAGCTGATGGAACCCTCAACCCCACCAGTCACCTCACATGTGGGCCAGTGCAGTCCAGTCCTGCTCCTGGCCAAAAACTTCAAAGCGCACAACTCTCATCACCACATACCAGGTACTACTGCATTTCAATGCTTCTCTCAATTGACATGCATTATTAATGCTTCTCTCAATTGACAAGCATTGGCGGAGCCAGGATTGCACCACTGCACTCCAGCCTGGAACTGCATCTCAAAAAAAACAAAACAAAAACAAAACAACAACAACAACAAACAAAGCCGGGCGGGTGGTTCATTCCTGTAATCCCAGCACTTTGGGAGGCTGAGGCGGGCAGATCATGAGGTCAAGAGTTGGAGATCATCCTGGCCAACCCAGTGAAACCCTATCTCTTCTAAAAATACAAAATTAGCTGGGCGTGGTGGTGCATGCCTATAGTCCCAGATACTTGGGAGGCTGAGACAGGAGAATCGCTTGAACCCGGGAGGCGGAAGTTGCAATGAGCCAAGATCGCGCCATTGCACTTCAGCCTGGCAACAGAGCGAGACTCTGTCTCAAAAAAAAAAAGATAATGAAGGCACTCGAATTTGGATACCACCTGTCTGTCTCACCCTTAATTCTTCTTTCCAAAACGTGACTATGTCATTTGCTAGTTTGCATCCTGACTGGGTCATATCCCATTGTACTGGAAGGGACTCTGGAAATGTGTGGGGGTGGGGACAGCATAAAGAGAACCTGATCAAAGCAGGCCCAAGAAACAGCATCAAGTTTTTTTTGTCAAAGAATACTGGGCCTCAGAATTCTTAGAGAACAGGAGGGAAAAAAAGCAAAATACACTTTTTCCCCTAAAGAATCTCATTATGTGCTTTGGCACATTTATTTGTGAGTAACTCCCCACACTTATCCTGGGCCAGGATCAGCTTTTTGTTTGTTTGTTTGTTTTGAGAGTCTTGCTCTGTCGCCCAGGCTGGGGTACAGTGGTGCACTCTCGGCTCACTGCAATCTCCGCCTCCTGGGTTCAAGTGATTCCCGTGCCTCAGCCTCCGGAATAGCTGGGACTACAGGTGTGTGCCACTACATGTGGCTAATTTTTGTATCTTTAGTAGAGATGGGGTTTCGCCATGTTAGCCAGGCTGGTCTCGAACTCCTGACCTTAAGTGATCTGCCTGCCTCAGCCTCCCAAAGTGCTGGGATTACAGGCGTGATTACCAAGCCCGGCCCCAGGCCAGAATCAGCTTCTGAAATTAGTGGTGATTTCATTTCCCCTGAGAAGACAGGGCTGGCTTACCGTTTACTTTTTTGGAGGCTGCGAAATGTCTTGGTTTGTTTTCTTCTAGGCTGATTTAAGAAGATTCCTAATTATCAACTGGGAGCAGAAATATTCCACTTCCAATTACATGGTCCTGCCTGCTCACTCTTACTTCCTATTCACACTCTCTTGGAGGCCACTTTGTGATTCTACCAAATCCTGTAGGAGAGGTGACAACCCTAAAGAGAAGGCTCTAGAAAGATGACATTTGGAAATGTCAGTTAGTGTCTGCTGGCTCCTCCTGAGCCACTTCTACTCTGTGATTGAGAGGAAAGGCCACCTAACTGCCTAAATCACCATACAGGGACAAACTGGTATCTAAGAGCACTCGGCAGCAAAAACAAGTAAGCTAAGCCTTTGCACTACAATGTCGCAGGGCCTCTGGCTAGGTATAGCAAGCAATTCTGATGTGGAGACAAACAGCAGCAACGGGAATGAAATGCCAATGACGGATTCCAACCATTGGGTCTGCAAGCATGCTTGTCCTGTGACACAAACAGCCTAGACATCTCAGCACTGCTTGGAGCTGCTCATTGGGGGAGCCTGAGAAACATCAGCCCTTTCACAACCCCTTGCTCCTGAGCAGAGCTCATCTCCCAAGAGCAAATCAGCCTGCAGCCCAGTTGGATGAGAAGCACAGTGTTCCCCTGTGCCAGTGGCAGCCTCAGAGCATCCTGAAAGAGCGCTTCCTAGACACGCAGTGGAAGCCATGACTTCCCCTAAGCTGCCAGTGCTGCTTCTGAACTCACGTGGAGGTTCTTTTTTCAGTGTCCCCAGAGGCAGTAGAAAAATCCATTTTCCATTTTGGAATCTATCAAGTAGGACAAATCTGCCACCTGGGAGCATCTCCTCAAGGGCAATCTCTACGCCCTTTCCCACATAGCCTGACAATACCCTCGAGTTAGAAATATCCCTTGTTGGCTAGGCACAGTGGCTCATGCCTGTAATCCCAGCACTTTGGGAGGCTGAGGTGGGAGGATTACTTGAGGCCAGGAGTTTGAGACCAGCCTGGCATAGAGAGACTATGCCTCTATTATTTTTAAAAAAGAAATGTCCCATATTTTTACCCTCTTCACTCATCTTTCCACCTTGCTCCAATAGATTGCTGACAGAAAAGTGAGATCTCCTCCACCCCGAGGTCTCCTAAGAGAATGCTGCTAGCCAAAAAAAGATCTGCTGATTATTGAGGAAGAGCATCTTTAAAAAGACATTCAACTACATTTCAGAAAGATAAAGATCTAAGTGTTGGCTCTATGAGGGAAGAAATAAAGAGAAAGAACTTTTTTTCCTCCTGCAACAGGTCTAGACAATGTCATACAAGGAGTTGCAAGCATATCCAAAACAAAAGCAAGGCAAAAACAAGCAAAAAAGCAACAAATGCATTCCAAAATGATCTCCATTTCTCAGCCCAGAAATGTACTGGATACTGGTTTAGTTCAGCCTGTAGGTGGTGGGAAGAAATTCACAAATCCAAATCAGTTGCAAAAAGGGAATACTCCAGACATATCACCCAATGAACCTGTAAGAAAGTATACGAGCTTCTCTGAACAGATTTTACTCCAGGTTTGCAGCCCACAAGGTTTAAGATCGGGCCATGAGGTTAAATCTGGTAAACTCAGAAATGTTCATGCTACTGCATCCCTAAACTTTCTAATTCTCTGCGTACCCTTTAAAGCAGTGTTTCTCTGCATCTTTTATTCCATAGCCATCGTCCACCTGATCCAAAATATCCTAAATTTTTCTATGTTTGGAAGCAGGGTTTCCAATTTTTGTGTATACAGAAAAGGGGTGTGTGTGAAAAAAATAAGTATTAGAAAAAGAACACGTTACATATCTATCACAGAAATGAGTGGGCAAGATTTAGAAGATTGCTGAAACAAAGCCAATACTAAGGTCTACTAGTTGGTTGCAACAAGTTTAAAATGTCTTCAGAAGGGCCCTGGTTGGGCAATACTATACTTGCTGACAGCAAGCTTGGGAACTGACACAGACCTATAGCAAAGGACTGTCCAACTTCTCCAAAAAGCTGGTATTAACCACCAGAAGAAATGAGAAGTTCAAGGCCAAAATATCCAAATGAACCAACCACTCTACTTGCTGAAATGCCATAAAGCTTCTTTACCCCAGACATTTACCCAAATCTTATAATTTCTTTTCTCCTCTCTGACAGGCCTCCACAGGCCCAAACTTTAATAGAATTTGAGAGAAAAAAGTGGCCAGTCCATCTGCTGTCCAGAGTGATGCCAAACTCTTTCTCCTGGAACCAGTTCTACCTGTTGGGCAGTCAGATAAGGGTCCGATTATTAACAAACTCTACTTGGGTCTCCTTGGTAGAGTTTGTGGCTTCAGCAGCCTAGTTCAGGGGAGTTCATAATTATGTCAGACTAGCTTTTTTTCTTGTAGTTGCTTTTAACCAAAGAGGTTAAACCTCTGTAAACCAAGAGGAAGAACCAGAATTAGAAAACTTACCAATCGTCCCAGCCAATGATAATCCATTTCCAACAGGTATTAACGCCTGTTAGAAGCCACTGGAACACTGACATCATCAGCCCAATTGACAGGTTGTCTGATAGATTCCCCCCCTTCATCGCACACAAGAATTTAAAACAAAACAAGACACTGCAGTTATATTCATTATTGCAGACAATGGGTTTCTTTGTGTTAGTAATTGAAATTACTGCTGTGCTCTGGACTCCATTATTCCCTTTGCAGCCTGTGAGCTGGCCAACACTCTAAACTTTCGAGCCCTAAAAATTGTATCATCCAGAATACCAACTCGGTACAGCCCTCCAATGTGAAACTGAATGCCTTCTGGGGTACAGCATGAAACAGTTTTAGACAGTGCAGGCCAGTGCACCTTGCAACAGTGTCCTTCCAACTGTAATGAAATCTGTAAACGGGAAACTCGGGCCAATTCATTGTTTAAAGCAGATCTACTGGCTCATACCTTTCTCTAGGAAACAATAAGTAAACAAGAAGTAACCTCAGAGGAAGAAAGAACTTTGGGAGAATGCACTGAGAAAGGCCAGACTGAGTCCCCTTGGATGAAGTTAATTAAGAAACAAACATGACAGGATATTGCAATCAAAACCAAGGAATGCAGTGAGGATAGGTTTCTCAGTTGCCCAGAGGAGAAGACATAGTTCCTTTTGAACTAAAATTAGAAAGCCGCTGGGAAGGAAACCTAAGAAGCATGGGTAAGAGGCTGAAAACCGTAAGTCAGCAATGGGGATGCAGGTGGGTGGAGGAAGAAAGTAAGTATCTATTTTATTTCTTCTGTAATTCCTTAAGATTGTTTGCGCCTGAGCTTTGGGACTGCAGTAGTCTTCCCCCACGGGACGTCAGGTAACAGGCTGGGAGCTCTGGCAAGAAGTTCTCAAACTTCTCACAATTCTGCTAAGAGCTCGCATCTAGCTGGAGGATCAATGATCCAAGTGAAAACATTAAAGGAAGGTTTTTGCCCACTCCCCAGTGAGAGATCATCTGCCCAGAGAGTGCCCTCATGTCCTGACACCATCGCCCGACTGGGATACATCAGTAACCGGGCTGTCCTCGATGCCGAGCAGTGCCCATCTGGTTGGCAGCGTCCGGATCTCAAGCGTTCCCTCGCCCCTCTGTACTTCGGGGAGCCCTGAATCGCTGGTGGGCATCTACAGTTAAGAGTGCAAGAAGGCCTCTCAGACACAGGGCGAACACGAGGGCTGCTGGCTGCCTCCTCGGAGCCGACCCAGGCATAGTCCGCCCAGGCGGGAGAGCGGCGCTGAGGTGGGTCGGCACCCGGCTGAGAGGTGCCAGGCCACCCCGGTGCCCGCTCCTCTCGCCGGCCCCCGGAAGCGCCGCCCTCCCGTCCGGCGGGCTCCGAGGGGGCGGGGAGTCGAACGCCCCCTTCCGGGTGCCTCCGCCCGGCTGGCCAGCCCCGCTCCTCCTCCGGGCGGGAATCCTCCCTCCCCCGCCCCTCCCGAAGCCGGGCCCCGGCGCCAGGCCCGGCCCCAGGGGGGAACCCCCAGCCTCGGCTCCCTCTCCCCGCGGCCTCTGCCCGTCTTCCTGACCCTTGGGGGCCGGGAAGACCCCGCCGGCAGCGGCCGGGACCCACCGCTCATTACGACATCTTCCTCCCTGGCCTCCGCCGCCTCCGCCGCCACCGAGAGCCTGACACCGCCCGCCAAGCACCCGCCAATCCCGGAGCCCGCCACCGCCCGAGCGACGGCAGCCTTCACCAATAAGGGCTTGGAACATTGGGGACCGACAGCACTATTAACCAATCAACCAGAGGCGTCTAGAGCGACGTTGATTTGACCAATAGGTCTGTGCAATGTCACTGATGGACGGTAGAGCGCACCAACCGAAAACCAATTGAATAATGAATGACATGTTTATCAGCCAATTGAAGGGAGGCAAAGTCCCGCCTACTGGGTGGTTGATGGACAGCGACAGGAAGCTGGGAGGGGCGGGGCTTAGTCGAAGAGTGCTTTTGTATTGGTCGTGGTTGACCTTCCACCCACCTCTAACCCAGAGGATGAGTGATAGATCTGCCCTGAAGCCAATCAGAAGTCCTTAGGGTGAGGCCCACAAATGCCCCAGAAATAGCATATACATTGCGCCCTAAGTCCAGTCTCGCCCAGGTGTGGCAGGAGCTTTTACCTGCTCTTCGGCAGTAGCCGGCTGCCACTCAACCCCATGCCTGGTGAGTGGAAAGCCATCAACCTTTTATTTAGTCCCTTGCTCGTTGTCGCCTCGGGAGGGGCGACTTTGTACAGTGAGGCACTGGGGTCCGGCACCATAGTGAGAGTTGGGGTTGTTTACGCGACACTTCTGAAGGGATTTTCACAATCGATTAAGCCACCGTTAATCTTCACATGGTTATTGCGGCGACCCCCATAGCCCACGGTCCCAAACGTGTGCATCTGAATCATCCGAAGCTCTTTCTAAAGGCAGGTTCCCCGGGCCGCCTCTCCTAATCCGACTCGGTACTTCACGGGGCGTGCCTAGAATCTGCATTTTAGCAAGGGCCTCGCATGGACAGAGTTGCACGCTTGAGTTTGAGAAGTACTGCTTGGCCTCTGCCCCACTTACCCTTACCTTCTTGAGATGAGGTAAAGCACTTGGTAGGCACTATCTGGATAGGTTTATCTTTGCTCCCAAGTCTCTTCCGAGAACTTGGGAAGGCTGCCTAGCTTAGTGAGGGAATCCATTGTGGCTTCAGACCAGTCTGGGTTTGAAACCTACACATCCTACTAACTTAGGCAGGGTACCGAAACTCCCTGAGCCTCGTGTCCTCATCAGTAAAACGAGGTTAATCACACCTACACCTTAGCGCAATGGCTTTAAAAACAAAACAAAACAAAACATAGCCCATCAAGAGAAATACATTTTGCATACTGACCAGTACACTTCTGTTTGAGAGTGTCATAAAGTTTCCAAAAACAATGCTTACTACTTGTGATACACTGATAGTTTCTATGCCTATCCTATCTTATTCTCCTTCTTGTTGATCATGACTGGCAATTTGAAAAACACTGCTAGGAAAGGTTGGTTGATAATACAAAATGCGGAGCAGAATTCCGGGTACACAGTAATTGCTGAAAAAATGTTAATAGCCTCTTCCAGTCTACTCCTCTCAGTGTTAGCCTTTGAAAAACGAGACTTTAGACGATAACACTCCTCTAGTAAAGATCCTTCATGGGATCCATATCTCCTGGATAAAGCCCAAACTTCTTTCTAGGCAAATTCCTCCCACTCTTTTCTTGTTAACCTCAGCATCCACCAGAGGACACACTCTTACTGGTGTATCTTTCATGCTTTATCTCCTCCCTGTACCCCCATTCCCTTCCTACAAATCCTACCCTTTTCCCTCCAGGAAAGATTCCAGGTTCCTAAACACGCTTTTTTCCACTAGTTGACTTTCTATCTTACCCTTCCCTTCTGGTAAACCCCTATGCATCCATGGCCAGATGTGGTGGCTCACACCTGTATTCCTAGCGCTTTGGGAAGCCAGAGGCAGGTGGATCGCTTGAACCCAGGATTTCGAGACCCAGCCTGGGCAACATGGCGAAACCCTGTCTCTACAAAAAAGCCGCATGGGGCGGTGCACGCTTGTAGTTCTAGCTACCTGGGAAGCTGAGGTGGGTGGATCACTTGAGCCTAGGAGTTTGAACTTAAAATGAGCTATGATCACACCACTGCACTCCAGCCTGGGTGACAGAGTGAGACCCTGTCTCTTAGAAAAATAGATAAACTCCTATGCATGCTTCAAGACTCTGCTGTAAGTCTGCATACCTCACTCCTGCCTAGCTATAGCTTCTTCCTCCTCTGCGCTGCCCTGGCACATGCAAAAGGGCTTCTCTCTCACACACTATTTCCACACTTTTATTCTCACTTCTTGCTCTCTTGCTAGACTGAGCTGTGGTAGAAGGATTGAGGCCAGCATAGAGGAGGATCAGCAGGAAATGTAAGCTGAGTTAAAGAATGAATATTTGCATACAATGACATCTGCATGACTTGTTTATATAGTCCATACATTCTGTTCCCAGGCCATTTTTCAAGTTTAGATTGCTTCACTGTCAAACCAAGGACTCCACCCAGGTTCCATGACTCACCTGTATTAGGGTGCAGGGATTTGGGGGGGAGGTAGGTGGGGTTGAATATCCTGCTGGGCCACTGTCAAACCTCTTCTGGGAGAAAAACTGGGGGTAACTATGCTTCTAACCTAGAGGCCCCATCTTGAAGACCGCAGAGGTGAAAAAAAAAAAAAAGTGTGCACTCACAGGGCGGAGGACAGGGCGTGAAAACTTGGAAGAATTCTGCAGTCATTTTGAATTATTTGATTGGTTTTGCCCTTTTAAAGGTCACCTTATCTTTTGTTTGTTTTTGTTTTTGTTTTGTTTCTAGGCTGTCTGACTCTTCTTACTAGAGACACAGCCAAAGAAGGGGAGGACCCTTTGGGTTTTTTTTGTTTTTTCTTTCTTTCTTTCTTTCTTTTTTTTTTTTTTTTCTGGAGATGGAGTCTTGCTCTGTCACCCAGGCTGCAGTGCGGTGGTGCGATCTCAGCTCACTGCAACCTCCGCCTCCCAGGTTCAAGCGATTCTCCTGCCTCAGCCTCCTGAGTAGCTGGGATTACAGGCGTGCGCCATCAAGCCCGGCCAATTTTTGTGTTATTAGTAGAGACAGGGTTTCACCATGTTGGCCAGGCTGGTCTCAAACTCCTGACCTCAAGTGATCCACCCACCTCAGTCTCCTAAAGTGCTGGGATTGCAGACATGAGTCACTGCGCCCGGCGGAAGGGGACACTTTCTTTTCTTTTTTTTTTTTTTTTTGAGATGGAGTCCAACTTGTCGCCCAGGCTGGAGTACAGTGGTGCAATCTCGGCTCACTGCAAGCTCCGCCTCGTGGGTTTACGCCATTCTCCTGCCTCAACTTCCCAAGTAGCTGGGACTACAGGTGCCCACCACCACACCCGGCTAATTTTTTGTGTTTTTAATAGAGACGGGGTTTTACCATGTTAGTCAGGATGGTCTCGATCTCCTGGCCTCGTGATCCACGCGCCTCGGCCTCCCAAAGTGCTGGGATTACAGGCGTGAGCCACTGCGGGAAGGGGACACTTTCTAAGAAGAAGACCTCGTTCATACTTTTGTCAGGCCCATTGGAGTCTTAGAGCCTCGTTCACAAACACCCCCGCTCCCCCAACGACCACACAACTCCTCAGAGATTTTTTCTTTCAAGATGGCCCCTGTCCTCAACAGAGAGGGAGAAGGTCAGACAACGGCTTGGAAATGCTCGTGGTCTCTCTGGCCACACTTATTTATTTATTTATTTATTTATTTAGAGATGGAGTCTCACTTCATCACGCAGGCTTGAGTGCGGTGGCGCTATCTCAGCTCACTGCAATCTCTGCCTCGTGGGTTTAAGCGATTCTTCTGCCTCAGTTTCCTGAGTAGCTGGGATTACAGATACGCGCCACTACGACCGGCTATTTTTTGTATTTTTAGTAGAGATGGGGTTTCACCCTGTTGGTCAGGCTGGTCTCAAACTCCTGACCTCATGATCCGCCTCCCCTCGGCCTCCCAAAGTGCTGGGATTACAGGCATGAACCACTGTGTCCTCCCTTTGTTTTTGTTATTTTTGAGACAGAGTCTCTGAAGCCTCAACCTCCTGAGCCCAAGTGATCCTCCCACCTCTTGAGTAGCTGGGACTACAGGTGTGCGCCACCATGCCCAGCTAATTTTTAAATTTTTTGTAGAGCTGGGGTCTCCCTATGTTGCCCAGGCTGGTTTCAAACTCCTGAACTCAAGCGACCCTCCTGCCTCAGTCTCCCAAAGTGCTAGGGTTATAGGCATGAGCCACTGCACCTGGCCATGGCCACACTTGAGACTCACTAAAAGAGCTTTTAATAGGTTCTGAAGTCTGGGTCCCATCCCAGGAAATTGGACTCTCTGGGGGCATCAGTATTAAGGAGTTCCTCAGGTGATTCCAATGGGCAGCCAAATGTGGAAAAGGACTCCTTAGCCCAAAGATACCTTCCCACTGGGGGTGCCCAAGTGAAAAACAAGGAAAAGTCTGTGCCCTCCACCCCCACCCACTCCTGTCCCTCCCCTTTCTGAATTTCTCCTCTTCCTACCCTACCTGCTGCCATCTTCACAGAGCCAGGGCCAGTGGGTGGTTCTGAGTGTGTGTGTCAACCTCAACCAGCGGCGACATCTCCTCCCTGGTGTGTCTGGAGGCAGGTTCTCTCAGTGATATTTCCCTTTTGTCTCCAACTGCTTTCAGTTTCTTTCTACTCCACATTGTCACTTTCTCTACATTTCTAACTTGCAAAGCTACACATTCCCCACCGCTAAAAACCCCATGCTCGTCTTGTCTACCATGGCACCTTCTGTTCCCAGCACTTTGCTTGATTATAGTAGGTGCACAGTAAATGTTTGCTGACTGACTAAATGACTATATCCTTTTAACACTTCTCAGGGACTTACACTTTCTCTTTCAGGCCCAGCTTCTTCCACTTCCACTTCTCCTTCCATGTCTACGTCTGAATCCCCTTCTTTCTTTTTTTTTTTTCCCTGAGACGGAGTTTCACTCTTGTTGCCCAGGCTGGAGTGCAATGGCACGATCTCAGCTCACCTCAACCTCCACCTCCCAGGTTCAAGCGATTCTCCTGCCTTAGCCTCCCTAGTAGCTGGGATTATAGGCATGTGCCACCATGCCTGGCCAATTTTGTATTTTTAGTAAAGACAGAGTTTCTCCATGTTGGTCAGGCTGGTCTCGAACTCCTGACCTCAGGTGATCCACCTGCCTCGGCCTCCCAAAGTGCTGGGATTACAGGCTTGAGCCACTGCGCTCAGCCTGAATCCCCTTCTTTCTTCACTTTCCTGTGCTTTTCCTGCTTCCTGACATTCTCTTTGTCCATTTTTGCACAGAGCTGTCCTCATCTAATCCATCAGTACCAGACAGTGAACATCTCTCCCCCAGGATGCTGAGGAAGGGTGCTGGACGGAAGGATGTGGAACTACAGCCTCTGCTCTCAAGATGCTCAGATCTGGGCAGGGAACATCACACATCTGGGCCTGTCAGGGGGTTGGGGGCTGGGGGAGGGATAGCATTAGGAGAAATACCTAATGTAAATGACAAGTTGATGGGTGCAGCAAACCAGCATGGCACATGTATACCTATGTAACAAACCTGCATGTTGTGCACGTATACTCTAGAACTTAAAGTATAATTAAAAAAAAAAAAAAAGCTTCAGATCCCTCCTGGAGCCTCCTATGAAACCACATGGTATAGCTGGTGCTGTTGGTCCAGAAACTAGAAGAATATCAGGCCAACCATCTTGTCTCTGTTGGGCCTCACTCATAGCTACAACCCAACCTTTATTATTGGTGTTTGTCTTTGAAGAGTTACAGCCAACCCAGCCTTCTAAAGACGGCTTGTTTTGCCTTAAGGATTTCCCAGTAACCTCTGCTTCTCCCTTTTCCCTCCTATGGTTTTCTATTTTCTCATCTCTTCCCTTTCTACCTATGGGGAAACCAAAATTGCAAACTGTTTTTTTTTTTTTTTTTTTTTTTTTGAGACTGTCTTGCTGTGTCGCCCAGGCTGGAGCACAATGATGAGGTCTCGGCTCACTGCAACCTCCACCTCCCAGGTTCAAGCAATTCTCTTGCCTCAGTCTCCTGAGTAGCTGGGATTACAAGTGGATGTCACCACGCCCAGCTAATTTTTATATTTTTAGTAGAGATGGAGTTTCATCATTTTGGCCAGGCTTGTCTCGAACTCTTGACCTCAGGTGATCCATGTGCCTCGGCCTCCCAAAGTTCTGGGATTACAGGCATGAGCCACTGCTCCCAGCCCAGAGTTGCAGACTTTTGTAACCCAGACTCTCTCATATGCAGACCCACAAAACTATTTGATGGGACAAACACCTAGCTTGGATGAATTTGGGTTATTTTTTTTTTTCCTCCTAGGGTCCATCAATGATTTCAGGGATCTAGGTTTCCTCAGTCTTCTGTGAACATGAAACATTGACAAAGGCTATAAGATGTATCTCCCTGTTACACCACACCCCGGGTGCACACATACAGACACACCTCAGTCCTCACTGCTGGGGATGCCACTCCTGACTCCTGCCCTAACACATCAACTTCCTCTGCCCCTGGTTCCCCTGTCCAGGCTGATGGCTCCCCACCAACTGCCATGGAATCTTCCAGCAAGGACATTCCACTCATCCTTCCCCACAGGGTTCTTCCTTCTTTGCTGCTTCTTTCTACCCCCAGTCTCCCTGGGGTGGGATCTGTGCAGCCTCAGGGAGAAAGGGCAGGGCCCCAGGTAAAAGGAGCCCTTTAAGGCGGAAGGCATGGGTGCCTCCTCTGCCTTTGTGTGTCACCACCAGGGGGCACCCAAGGCATTTCCAAAGCAGCTGCCCAGTGTTCACCTTACAGGAACACAGGGCGGGCAGGGAGATCCAGCTTGACAAGCAGCTATTCCCCCAGGAATGGGGCCTGTTTCATTCAGAGACTGAGAGTGGGTTCCAGCCTCTACAAAGAAACTCCTTAAAAAGAATCATTTGGGGCCGGGTGCGGTGGCTTACCCCTGTAATCCCAGCATTTTGGGAGGCTGAGGTGGGTGGATCACCTGAGGCCAGGTATTCAAGACCAGCCTGGCCAACATGGTGAAACCCCATCTCTACTAAAAATACAAAAATTAGCCAGGTGTGGTGGCACGTTCTTGTAGTCCCAGCTACTTGGGAGACTGAGGCAGTAGAATCACTTGAATCTGGGAGGCAGAGGTTGCAGTGAGCCGATATCTTGCCACTGTACTCCAGGCTGGGTGACAGAGTGGGACTCCATCTCAAAAAAAAAAAAGACAAAACAAAAAAAAAAGAGCCATTTGGGCCAGGCATGGTGGCTCATGCCTGTAACCCCAGTACTTGGGGGAGCCTCAGGCAGGAGGATTGCTTCTTGAGCCCAGAAGTTAGAGATTAGCCTGGGCAACATAGTGAGACCCTCATCTCTACAAAAATTTTAAAAATTAGCCAGGCTTGGTGGCTCTCAACTGTAGTCCCAGCTACTTGGGAGGCTGAGGCAGGAGGATCCCTTGAGCCTAGGAATTCGAGGCTGTAGTGAGCTGTGTTTGCAACACTGTACTCCGCCCTGGGTGACAAAGCAAAACCGTGTCTCCCTGTCTGAAAACAAAAACAAACAAACAAACACATTTACCTCTTCAAGGAATTTGTTTCCTACCAACCAGCTCCTCTTACCGCCCCCCCCCCCCGGTAGCATTATCTTCTCTCTGCCTCAGCCCCTCACCTGCACTCCCCTGCTCCCCACCTTTCCTGATCCCATCGACCACAGCTCCATGTGGCGCCCAGTCTGCTTCTCTGAGTCCCAGCCCACTGCAGACCGGAAGCGTCCCCAGGGACAAAGGGAGGCTGAGCGTGTCCCTGACCAGGCACTGCCCTCTCTGCCTCTGCCCCTCTCCCTCCTAGGCCCTCACTTCTGTCAAAACCACATCTCAGTCCCATTGCTAGCCTCCTGAGGGTTCCCAGAGACCCTGAGTGTGGAGGGTGTGGGTTCAGAAGGACCAGGGCTGGGAACAGGGGCTGGAGGCTGGGCTCAGGAGCAGCACTTGTCACCTGAAAGCACTGACCCAGCTGGGAGAGACTCGGGAAGTGGGCCATGGGGGTGATAACAATAACAATAATCATATTAATAATGACACTGGGGCCCACAAAACGGCTGTGAAATACCCGCTAATGATCCCTTATATTTATAGATCTCCTCCTAGACACTTCAGAGCCATTGCCCAATTAACCCTCCTAGATTCCCTAGAAGGGACAATTAACCCCATATTTTATGGCCAGGGAAACCTAGGCTCTGAGAATGTGATGCAGTTGGCGGAGGTCGTCCATTCCATTAGTGACAGCAGAATTTGTGGAGCAGCCCTCTCTCCTTCCTTTCATCTACATCCAGATGCACTTATGCTGGGCACAGTGGCTCATGCCCACAGTCCCACCAGCACTTTGGGAGGCTGATGGATCGCTTGAGCTCAGGAGTTTGAGACCAGCCTGGGCAATATGGTGAGACACTGTCTCTACTAAAACTACAAAAAAAAAAAAAAAAAAAAAATTAGCTGGGCATGGTGGTGCATGCCTGTGTTCCCAGTTACTCAGGAGGCTGAGGTGGGAGGATCACTTGTTGTTTCCTACCAACCAGCTGTTGTTTCCTACCAACCAGCTCCTCTTACCTCCCCTGGTAGCATTATCTTCTCTCCTGCCTCAGCCCCCTCACCTGCACTCCCCTGCTCCCCACCTTTCCTGATCCCATCGACCACAGCTCCATGCTTGAGGCGCCCAGTCTGCTTCTCTGAGTCCCAGCCCCATGTGGCGCCCAGTCTGCTTCTCTGAGTCCCAGCCCACTGCAGACAGGAAGCATCCCCAGGGTCCTCCCACTCCTGGTGGGAGGAAGTTGCAGTGAGCTGAAATTGAACCACTGCACCCAAGCCTGGGAGACAGAGCGAGATCCTGTCTCAAAACAAAAAGGCTGGTGGCTCATACCTGTAATCCCAGCACTTTGGGAGGCCAAGGTGGGCGGGTCACCTGAGGTCAGGAGTTTGAGACCAGCCTGGCCAACATGATAAAACCCCGTCACTACTAAAAATACTACTAAATCTCTACTATAAATAAAGAAAATTGTTTTCTTTTCTTTTTTTTTTTTTTTTTTGAGATGGAGTCTTGCTCTGTCACCCAGGCTGGAGTGCAGTGGCAGCATCTCGGCTCACTGCAACCTCCGCCTCCCAGGTTCAAGCAATTCTCCTACCTCAGCCTCCCGAGTAGGTGGGATTACAGGCGCCTGCCACCAGCCACCACGCCAGGCTAATTTTTCGTATTTTTAGTACAGACAGGGTTTCTCCTTATTGGTCAGGCTGGTCTCAAACTCCCGATCTCAGGTGATCCGCCCATCTCGGCCTCCCAAAGTGCAGGGATTACAGGCGTGAGCCCCTGCACCCAGCCCCAAGAAGGTGATTTTTTCATTTTTTTCTTTTCTTTTTTTGAGATGGAGTCTCACTCTGTCACCCAGGCTGTAGTGCAGTGGCGCGATTTCAGTTCACTGCAAACTCCGCCTCCTGGATTTGAGTGATTCTCCTGTCTCAGCCTCCTGAGTAGCTGGGATTACAGGCGCCTGCCACCAAGCCCAGCTAACCTTTGTATTTTTAGTAGAGATGGGGTTTCACCATGTTGGCTAGGCTGGTCTCGAACTCCTGACTTCAGGTGATCCACCCACCTCGGCCTCCCAAAGTGGTGGGATTACAGGCGTGAGTCACCATGCCCTGCCAAAGGTGCTTTTTGCTAATCTGAACTCGGGCATGTAAAGTGGGAATGTGCTGTGTTTGAAGCAGGAGGGAGTAAAGTTACCTAATCTAAGAACTTCCTTGTTATATAAGGTTATGCAGCCTAGACAACGTAGCCAGACCCCCCATTTCTACAAAAAAAAAAAAAAAAAAGTAAAAATTATCTGGGTGGGTCGGGCGCGATGGCTCACAACTACAATCCCAGCACTTTGGGAGGTCAAGGCGGGCGGATCACGAGGTCAGGAGTTCGAGACCAGCCTGATCAACATGATGAAACTCTGTCTCTACTAAAAATACAAAAATTTGCCAGGCATAGTGTCATGTGCCTGTAATCTCAGCTACTCAGGAGGCTGAGCCAGGATAATCGCTTGAACCCGGGAGGCAAAGGTTGCAGTGAGCTGAGATGGCACCACTGCACTCTAGCCTGGGTGACAGAGTAGCAAGACTCCTGAAAAAAAAAAAAAAAAAAAAAGCTGGATGTGGTAGCACGAGTCTGTCATTCCAGCTACTTGGGAGGTGAGGTGGGAGGATCACTTGAGCTCAGGAGGTCGAGGTCACAGCAAGCACTGAAGGCTTCACTCCACTCTAGCCTGGGTGACAGAATGAGACCCTGTCTCAAAAATTATAATAATAAAATTTAAAAACAGTCCAGGAGTGGTGGTTCACGCTTGTAATCCCAGCACTTTGGGAGGCTGAGAATGGCAGATCACCTGAGGTCAGGAATTCCAGACCAGCCTGGCTAATGTGAAACCCCATCTGTACTAAAATTATAAAAATTAGCTGGGCATAGTGGCAGGCGCCTATAATCCGAGCTACTTGGGAGGCTGAGGCAGGAGAATCGCTTGAACCTGGGAGGTGGAGGTTGCAGTGAGCCAACACCGCGCCACTGAACTCCAGCCGGGGCGACAAGATTGAAACTCCATCGGAAAAT